CAGACACATTGTCCCCCTCAGCATGGTAATGACTGATAAACTTGGAAAAACTTGCTAGCTTGACTTCGAAGTCAATTATGCTTGAATGTTCTTCGTTGTCGGGGATATAAGTTTCTCCTACTGGCGATAGCCCAGTGATGGCCGCTATGTCGAAGAAGGTTGGGGTGATCATTCCACCTGGGAGATGGAAAGTGTTATAGGTACTGTCCCAGAAATAGAGGGACGTGAATAGCAGAGGGTGGCTGTAGGTGAAACCAGGCTTCGATAGCTTAATCAGGTTATAGATACCTAATTCTTCCCATTGCTGGGATTTCTTAGCTTCTACTTTCTTGAACCAATTTTGATAAGCAATATCAGAGGTGTGGCAAGATCGAAATGGCTTAAAATTACTTTTTACATAATCCAATACAAAGGGGTCCTTAGGAGGAATAGTTGGGTTTTCTATGGTATTTGAACTAGAAGATTCTATTGCCTTAGGGGCGTCCATTTTGTTAAACAAGGGTTTAAAACTATAACAAACTGGGAAAATCGTCCTGGTGTCTTTTAATATTTCAAAAACCGTAAGAGGGCCATTTAAAGCTAACCTCTTACCAGCAACGGTGGTAGGAATGAGTACCTATGACGCATAAAGCATTTCTTTTTCCTTTGAAATCATCTGAGGGGCAAGAACGGATTGACCTTGGTGAGTGATAATCTTACTTTCCATGGTAGTTCCTGCAGTTTTTCCTTTCTTCTTGGAGACTTTCTTGAGTTGGGATGAAGTAGAAGAAGACATTTTTGAAGGATGTTGAAAGCTTGGGTTTTTTGACGAGAGAAGGAGGGTAAAAGATTCAGAGTGTGAAAAGAAAAGAAAAAGATTAAGTTGGTGATGTTTTATAATGGGGAAGTTTAAGCATCCACTGAATAAGGGTGTGATACGTGGAAATCATGGGTTGGTGTGATGAAGAGGTGGCGTAAAGTTAACATGGGTAATAGGCGTGATTTAAAGATAATCATTGTTTGTAACTGCACCATACTGTGAAGTGGCTCCAGGCGGTTAAGGAATCCAAAAAGCACTATGATTGACGTGACTGGAGTCAAATGCATTAAATGTTACGATGATTCGAAGGTCACATCAAAATCTTGTGTAGATGTTTAAAATAGGTATTTCTCAGAGAAATCGAAATACATATTTTAAAGGGGCAATTTGTTGGCTGAAGATTTTGATAATATTATTAGAAGCCAAATGAATTAAACGTTTCGATCGAAATAAAGCAAAGCGTCATGTTTCGAAGTAGCAGAAGCAGTGTTTCGAATAAGCATGTCAAAGTTGGAGCTTCGAGTGGCAATTATGGGAACATATCTAAAGAAGTCTCGAAATAACAACAAGGCTGTGTCTGGGAAGTGCGTTCGAAACGAAGAAGTACCAAAGCATTTGAAATTCAAATGGAAGCGGGACATTCGAAGTTTGAAATTTATATGCTGGAGCATTTGGAGACACGTGGAAAGAAGAAAGAGGCATTGTTCTGCATGTTCTGAACGTGGCATAATCCTATAGCAAGACCGTTATGGTCGAATTAGTATAAATAGAAGTCTTAGTATTAGGATTTCGTGTGTCATATCTATTGTACTAAATACTCAGTAACATTCAAACTACCACATGGCAAGGGAAACGAATGCAAGAGCAATGTACGTATGATAGCACCATATATTTATGATTTAATGAAAACCTTTTACCATTTCCAGCACTTTCCTTTATCTTTCTGTCAAATAACATTTATAAGTTTTCTCATTTACAGCCTTTTCACTTCGAAATCTCTTCATTAAAGTTTTACATTTCAATGCTTTCTTCACATTTCAAGCACTTTACATTTCAGAAAACTGTCATACTTTCCATGCCTTTACCTTCAAACTTTATCCTTCGAACGCCTATTTTTACTTAAAGTTATTTACAGATTTCTTGCATTAAACGCTTTCTTCATATTTCAAACCTTTTACGTTCCAGAAATCCTTTACATTAACTGTTTTTATAATTCGAAACCATTTACTTGCCTTTTATGCAATTTTACATGTCTTTACAATTAACATTTATTCATGCAACTTAGTTTCGTACACACACATTTTGATTACATCTTTAGACCTTTAAGAGAGAAATCGAAATAAGCCAAACACCTATACAACACTCAAATATCAACCATGAATATTTGTTCGATCATGAGAGTTACCCTAATGACCAAGGAATCCTAGGATCAATCTAGTCGATCCTGTGAGTTACCAGAGGAATTGAATAACAGTCAGAAAGATTATTCGATAGTTTGGAAGACTAGCGGTTGTTTACCAGAAATCACTGGAAACAGTGTGGTAAACATAAACAAATAAATTCACAAGTAAACATAAACAAGTTCATTCACAATTTCTATACAACATATATATTAATTGCAAAACTAAAAAACAAAGGAATTATCGCTATGCGAAACAACAAATCAATCCCCGACAACAGAGCCATTTTGCTGAAGTGATAAAGTGGCAAGCAAAAAGTAAAGTATTATTTTACCGGGTGATATTTAGGTTATATCGTATAGTGTCTACAAAGATTGGTCATCGAGTCGTCGTTCGATAAATCATTCGTTAATGAGTATTGGGGTAAAATGGGTTTGAAGTAAATGCGGGAACTTAAAGTTATGAACAGAAAATAAATTCATTCTTCCAAGGAACAACCTATCAAGCATGCATATAATCCACTCCTCACAAACTTAAACATATCGACCAGTTAGACTCAACCTATAAGACTCGTCAATGTCATCACGTGTCAAACACTACACCCACTATATCATCTCAGCGACGACCTCTCAACCAGCCTTAACAACACAAAAGTCAACTGTGCTACTCGCATTAACAATCTCTCAGTCAGCACAACCAACACAGAGGAATTAATTATAGACACCCAAGTGAATAATAGCGCTAAATCTCTCTCTAGAATTTAGACACTATTAGACAATCATCCTAGATAAGAATCCGAGCAGTATATGTCTATAACAACCAAAATCCCGAGCACAGAGTAATAATCCAGGAGAACAATCGACAAAGATTTGTAAAGCTAGTTTTATATAACGTCATGAGTGACAAATATACATAAGATTAAAGTAAATACATATACAAACTTAACATACAAAAAATACACAAAGAAGAATAGAAATGAACCACAAATCTACTGGTTTATCAGCACCAATCGAAGAGCAATCCACCCAGGATCATCCGTATGCAAGCTTTAATGTTGTTTTCTAAGCTAATCCGAGAGAAAAATAAGGGTTGATGGAGTTGGGAGCAAAAACTATCCCCCAAAACCATCATCTAACAAAATGAAATGAAAATGAAATATATACAAAATCTGGTCCGCACGCGTCATTCGATGACATAAAGACTTCGCCCGACGACGACTCTTAATTATAAGGCCCAGGCTGCGTCACGTACGCAACTGGCCAAAAATATCCACCCTCTCCCGGCAAAGGGAAGCTTCGCCCGACGACACAACCAAAACTCGCCCGATGACCACAACGCGAGCCAAAGTAGAAGCTACTGGAAAAATCTTCTTTCCCTCTCGCTCCACGCTTGCCCGGTGAAGCAGAAGCGCAAGCTCCTCGCCCGAAGAGGCTTGACGGATAACACATCTTTATTTATTTTCCTGCTGCACAGTAGTGGCTTTATTGCTTCAATCTTGCATCTTTGGAGCTGCCAATTGGCCATTTATTCCTCAATGCTCCAAACACACATAAATTCCTACAAAATAGATACAAAACTATCAAACAATACACTATGTACAAGAAAATGCAAATAAACACAAACTATACGAATTTACACAAAAGTTGGGTTATTCAACTAATATTAACAATAAATAGTCGATAAGTGCAACAAAAAGTATATACAAAAATAACTACAATATGCACTTATCATTTGTACAACCATCTCAAATCTAAAAACCTCATAAATGGAGGAAAAAGAAGGGAAAGTAGAAGAGGGTAAGGACCCTTCTTTATCCTCTATGCAAAAATACACCCATATGTGAATAAATTACCCCTTATCTCAAATTTGTAGTAATTCCAAACTTTTGGCTATGGCTTCCTTTTCTCTAACCCTTGTTCTCCTTGTTTGCTTTCCTCCCACACTTGCCTCTTTTCTTCTAATTTTCTCACCTACTTCCCCATAGCTCCACTCACTACTGTATTAAAACAAACCTAATTTTTATTTTACTAATTTCACATTGTCCACTAACTCTTGTTTATTCACCACTTTACTCTATTAAAATCTTAAAATTTTAATTTATGTGCATGATCATATAGAGCCTGAACCTTCCACTTCAAGTGATAGATTAGTTACTATTCACAACATCCCTCAAGTTCAAATAGATGTTGATCAACCAATCATCAAGACTCCACAAGTTGATGATAATCTAGTAGATCAAATTAGTCATCAAAATAATAAACAATTAGTTGAACAACGAGATTCACAAAAAAAATGTTGATCAAACATTAAAGAGGTCTCCTAAGACAAGAAAATCAACTATTTCTAATTATTACATTGTGTGTCATAATAAACTTAGACATTTAGACATTAGAACACTAACATTATATGTTCACTATCATAATAGAGCAGCGTGCACCACCACATCAAGACTTTGCACTAATTTTCCATACAGAACATATATATTACTTGATGATTGTTTTGATCAAGTCAAAAGATGTACTAGTACTAGTGTCTAGTAAGTCAAAAAGTCTTAAAGATATATGGCCATTTTTTCTCCGTTCATTAACTCCCAAAAGCAATTACTTCAATTGGTTTCAAGTCACATTCAAAAAGACGTCTTTGCTTAAGCAAATGGGACCGGTATTACATCACAAAAAATGTCATTGTATATGATTATAATAATGCAAAGTTTTATTATTTTCCTCCCTTACAATGACTACAAGAAAAATAAGACATATCTCTTCTCAAAAATCATGTGATCCATCTTTACTCTCTCAAAAATGGATAATTTGTTTTCACCATCAACTTTAGCACTTGCTATATCATTAGTACTTGTATACAACATATGGAGGATCATAAAACCTTGTAACAAATCAAAGGGTAAGAAACCACCACAACCATCATATTCCTTACCTTTGATTGGTCACCTCCATTTACTAGGTAACAAAATCCCCCTAGCAAGAATCTTTGCTTCTCTCTCAGACAAATATGGTCCTATCTTCCAAATCAACTTAGGAGCATACCCTGCCCTTGTTATTTCCAACCAAGAAGCAATCAAAGAATGTTTCACCACAAATGACAAAATCTTAGCTTCAAGACCAAAGTCAAGTCATGGAATCTACCTTGGTTATAACTTTGCTGGATTTGGATTTGCACCTTATGGTCCATATTGGACTAAGCTAAGAAAATTAGCCATGCTTGAGTTACTCTCGCCTCGTCGCATCGAATCCTTGAGACATGTTTACGAATCGGAAATTGATACTTTGATTAAGGATCTTTCACTGTATGTTAAAGATGGAAAGGCTAAGGTTGTGATTAGTGAATGGTTGGAAAGGTTAACATTTAACATAATGACAAAGATGATTTGTGGGAAAAGGTATTTAGAGTATATGCAAGATGTGGATGATGTTGAAGCACATGGTAGTATTGTGAAACTTATAAAAGAATTTATGCATATTTCTGGTGAGTTTGTTCCTAAGGACTTGATTCCAATTATTGGTTGGTTTGGTTTTGAAGGAAAAGTGCTAAAATCTATGAAAAGAGTTGCTAGAGATTTGGATAAAGTTGTTGGTAGATGGGTTGAAGAACATATTGAGAAGAGTGATGATATTGATGAGAAACATGATTTTATTGATGTGATGCTTTCTGTGATTGAAGATGATCCTGTTTCTGGTCATAGCCGTGATACTATCATCAAGGCAAATGTTATGGTATGTATTTTTTTTTTTTTTCTGATGAATTCTGCAATATGGTTTTCATTTGATTTTTTTTAATGTTGAATTTATTGAGAATTTTTATTCAGAATCTTATGCTAGCCGGATCAGACACAACATCAACAACAATGACATGGATGTTAGCCATATTGTTGAATAATATGAATGCTTTAAAGCTTGTTCAAGAAGAGATTGAGCATCACATAGGTAAGAATAGAAGGGTAGAATCGTCAGACATAAAAAACCTTGTTTATTTACAAGCAATTTTCAAAGAAACTTTAAGGTTGTATCCACCAGGTCCACTATTAGTACCCCACGAAGCAAAAGAAGATTGTAACATTCAAGACTATTATATACCAAAAGGAACACGTGTGTTTGTTAATGTGTGGAAATTACATAGAGATCCAAGTATTTGGTTAGAGCCAGAAAAGTTTTCACCTGAGAGATTTATTAATGAGAAAGGTGAAATTGATCATGATGGTCATCATTTTGAATATCTCCCATTTGGATTAGGGAGAAGAGCTTGTCCTGGATCTATGTTTGCTACACAAGTTAGTCTCGTTACACTCGCTTGTTTGATTCATAGTTTTGATTTTGAAGTGTCAGTGGATGAAGTTGTTGATATGAGAGAAGGTTTAGGTATAACCTTGCCCAAGCTAACTCCATTGCAAGTTCTTTTGACACCACGATTACCCTATGAACTCTATCAATAATATAGGATATCATAGTAATTTGAGTTAGTTAGAATCACAATTAGCAACATAGATTTGAATAATCGTACCCAAGCACGGTTGAGTTTATGTTTCTCCTTTGAATGCATTGTGTATTATATGGAAAAATAATGTGTTTGTTTCACATAGCATAATAGCCAATATATACTTAAGCAATTGCCTATTTATCTCCTTAAACTGTGTCTATAATAGTTTGCTAAAAGGTAGCACAAATTATCAATTAATATACTTCATTAATATCCAGTATATGACCACTATCAGCACACTTAGAAAACATATTTCGTTTCCTATTACCCCTCAAGTTAGTACATGCTGTTAAATTGTAATTCATATGTGTCAAAGAAGATTTGATTTGTTTTAGATTTAAATAGGTTTGATTTAAGTCTAGAATATATTTGATTAGATTTGATTTAGTAACAAAAAGATATTTTGGGTCTTTGGCTTAGGGTGTAAGCTCAATTATAAATAGAGGGAGTAACCCCTATTTTGAAAGAAAGTCAAGTAAGTCATTCACAGTATTTTGCAGTTGCAAAGTGAATAAGAAAGTTTTCCACAGTTTGTGGGCAGAGAGAAACTCTGCAGAAATAATTGCCTTGTCTTCTTTTATTTGTTTTTCTCATAACTAATCATCATTATTGGTCGAAATTCATCATAGTATTAGGTGGATTTCCAACATCTGGTATCAAGAGCTTTTGTTTCGATTCAAGGGAAGTGTCAATCAAGAACGATTGAAGAATTCACGATGACAAGTTATGGGAATGCAAACTATCCAGCAACGCTGCCAATTCTGAAAGTTGACAACTATGAGAATTGGTGCAAACAGATGAAAGTCCTATTAAGGTGTCAAGGTCTTTGGGACCTTGTAAAAGATGGAGTCGAAGCACTTGGCGAAAACACTTCAGAAGAAGAAAAAAAGAAATACACAGAATCTGAGAAGCTGAGTTATAAAGCATTATTTATAATTCATCAATGTGTCAGCCCAGACAATTTCGAAAAGATTAGTGATTCAGAATCTGCAAAAGAAGCTTGGGAGATCCTTGAGAAGTCTTTTGGAGGCGCTGAGAAGGTGAAAGAAGTGAGGTTACAAACTCACAAAAGGACCTATGAACTGCTTCAGATGGAAGACAGTGAAAACATATCTGATTTCTTCACTAGAGTTACAAAACTAGTAAATCAAATCAAGATATGTGGAGAAGCGTTAACAACAAGAGCTGTTGTGTCGAAGATCTTGAGATCTTTAGCTCCTAAGTTCGACCACATAGTGGTGGCGATAGAAGAGGGGAAAGACTTGTCGAAATTGACAAAGGAAGAGCTTCAAGGGACGCTTGAATCTCATGAACAAAGAATGAACGAAAGAGCTGCAGGAAAAGCGAAGAGTGATGTGACCTTGCAGGCACATTCAGCAAAAGAGACCAAAGGCAAAGGAAAGTGTTTCGACAGAGGTAGAGGTGGCTACAACAAATCGAATGGTAGAAGAAACCAAATCGAAGGAGACGTGTCGAATCAAAGAAGACCATACTAAGGCAACCAAAGAGGTGGTGTTGAAAATAGAGGAAGAGGTGGTGGTCGAAAACTTGATAAGAGTCACATTCAATGTTACAATTGTCAGAAATATGGACACTATTCGAGTGATTGTCCAGAAAAACGAAAGAATCAAGAAAGTGATGCAAAGCTTGCAAAACATGAAGAAGAAGAGATGATGCTGATGGTCACAACAAGAGATGAAGATAGATTCAAGGACCAATGGTACTTGGATTCAGGATGTTCATCACACATGTCTGGAAGGAAAGACTGGTTTGTCAATATAAAGCCCTCAAAGAAAAATATGGTAAAATTTGCAAATGACAATACCCTAGCAGCTGAAGGTATTGGTGATGTTATGATCATGAGGAAAGATGGCAAGAGGTCAGTAATTTCCAATGTATTGTACATACCAGGCATGAAGAGCAATTTGCTCAGTATAGGGCAGTTGGTCGAAAAGAATTATAAAGTGTCAATCGAAGATAAGTTGATGAGAATCGTTGATGAAAATGGGAGATTAATCTTGAAGGCTCCTATGTCTCAGAATCGAACCTTCAAGATTGAACTAAATGTGATGGAGCATAAGTGTCTTTCGACTGCAGCTAGCAGAGATGAATGAATATGGCATTATAAACTAGGCCATCTCAACTTCAGAGACATCAGAGATTTGAAGAGAAGAAATATGGTTTCAGGATTGCCTGAAATTGACATTCCAAACGAAGTATGTGAAGAATGTGTGCAGGCGAAGCAACACAAGAATAGCCTCAGCAAGGATGCAGGAAGCAGATCGAAGGCTAGTCTTGAAGTCATATACTCTGATGTATGTGGACCAATCCAGGTGGATTCGATGGGAGGTAACAAATACTTTGTTACATTCATAGATGATTTCAGTCGAAAGCTATGGACTTACCTGATCAAGAAGAAAAGTGAAGTGATCGAAGTATTTACCAGGTTTAAGTCTATGGTCGAAAGACAAAGTGGTCGAAAGCTCAAAGTTTTGAGAACTGATGATGGTGGAGAATATGTGTCGAAAGACTTCAACAAATTATGTGAAAAGGAAGGGATTGTGCATGAGGTGGTGCCACCCTATACTCCACAACAAAATGGAATTGCAGAAAGGAAAAATCGAACCATCATGAATATGGTGAGAAGTATGTTGAAAGGCAAGAGTTTACCTAAATAGTTTTGGGGTGAAGCTGTTTCGACTGCAACATACATTTTGAACAGATGTCCTACAAAAAAGCTAGAAGGAATTACTCCAGAAGAATGTTGGTCTGGTGTGAAGCCTAGCTTGAGTCATCTGAAGGTATTTGGATCTATTGCACATAGACATGTGTCATATCAGTTGAGAAGAAAACTTGATGATAAGTCAAGTCAAATGATTCTAGTTGGATATCATTCGACAGGAGGCTACAAGTTGTTCTATCCAGAGAACAAGAAGATTGTGATCAGTAGGGACGTGATCATAGATGAGTTTAAAGAATGGGATTGGACTGCAAATGTCAAGAAAGATTCAGTGGGAATCCTATTCGAAGAGCCAGAAACTCAAGTCGAAAGAGAAGTTCGACAAGAGGAACCAGCAGATATACCAAGCACAAGCAGACCTCAAAGACCAAGACGCATGCCTGCAAGATTGCAAGATTGTGTGATTACATCAGATGATGTAATAGATAATGAAGGTGAGCTGGTACATTATGCTTTCTATGCAGATGTCGAACCTGTTAATGCAGCTGAAGCATTAAAAGATTCGAAGTGGGTAAAAGCAATGAACGAAGAAGTAAAGTCTATCGAAGACAACAACACTTGGTCACTTGTCGAATTGCCTCAAGGCAAGAAGGAAATTGATGTCAAGTGGGTATACAAAGTGAAAACAAATTCGAAAGGTGAAGTAACTCGACACAAAGCAAGACTTGTGGCAAAAGGATTTCTACAGAAAGAAGGAATAGACTTCGACGAAGTTTTTGCACCTGTTGCTAGGATCGAAACAATCAAGTTAGTTGTTGGTCTAGCAGAAATCAACAGTTGGCACGTATGTCAGATGGACGTGAAGTGTGCATTCCTAAATGGACCCTTAGATGAAGAAGTCTATGTTAAACAACCAGTTGGTTTTGTGAAACATGACGAAGAAAGAAAGGTGTACAGGCTACATAAAGCCCTGTATGGATTGAAACAAGCTCCAAGGGCTTGGAATAAGAAAATTTATAGTTTTCTAAGGGAGAAGGAATTTGTGAAGTGCATAACTGAACATGGAGTATATGTAAGAAGAAGCAAGAGTAAATTGCTTATACTATGTCTCTATGTAGATGATTTGTTGATAATAGGTAGCTGCAAGAGTGAGATCGAAGACTTCAAAGGTGATCTCAGCAAGGAATTCGAAATGTCTGATTTGGGTGAGATTTCATACTTCCTTGGTATCAAATTCTACAAGAGAAGTAGAGGTTTGATGATGCATCAAAGAAGATATGCAGGAGAAATTCTCAAGAGGTTTGAGATGGAAGAATGCAACTCAACTTCGACACCTGCAGAACCAAGACTGCAACTATCAAAAGATGCAGATGAAGATGATGTTGATCCAACTCAATACAGAAGACTTATTGGATCATTAAGATATCTTTGTCATACAAGGCCTGACTTAGCATACAGTGTATGTATGGTAAGTAGATTCATGCAGAAGTCAAAGGTATCACATCTAGCAGCAGTGAAGAGGATACTAAGGTATCTCAAAGGAACTTTCGATTATGGCATTTTGTTTCCTGCAGTTGATAAAGGAAAAGAATGCAAGTTAGTGGCATACACTGATTCGAGTTGGTGTAGTGATGCTGAAGATCGAAAGTCAACAGCAGGATATGTGTTTATGCTAGGTGGTGCACCAATTGCTTGGAATTCAAGAAAGGAACCAGTAGTGGCATTATCATCATGTGAAGTAGAATACATAGTTTCTTCTCTTTGTGTATGTCAAGCAACTTGGATGATGAGCTTGGTCGAAGAGATAACAGGGAAAAATCATGGAGCAATTACCATGAATATAGACAGCATGTCAGCTATTAATCTGACGAAGAATCCAATAGCACATGGTCGAAGTAAGCACATCGAAATGAGATTCCATTATCTTCGAGAGCAGGTAGAAGATGGGAAGATGAATTTGGAACACTGCAGAACTGAGAATCAGATTGCAGACATCATGACGAAGGGAGTGCAAGTCAAAGTATTCAGAAAGCTAAGAGCCATGATGAACATAGACAGTTTAGACACAATGAATTAGGTGGTGTGTTAAATTGTAATTCATATGTGTCAAAGAAGATTTGATTTGTTTTAGATTTAAATAGATTTGATTTAAGTCTAGAATAGATTTGATTAGATTTGATTTAGTAACAAAAAGATATTTTGGGCCTTGGGCTTAGGGTGTAAGCTCTATTATAAATAGAGGGAGTAACCCCTATTTTGAAAGAAAGTCAAGTAAG